AAAAATCGCAATTAAGAAACAACACATGCGCTGACTAAGTATTGAACCCCTTCCCATACAACTATTCCTGCGAAAGATAAGCCTTTATATAGCACAATTGCTTCATTTTTAATATTTCAGACTGGAAGTTGCTCCATAATAGTAAAATAGTTCGATGTAGAAATCTACCATATCAAACTTGGACTAAATTGGTCAATTTTTCGGACCTCTGACCGAATAAAGGTTCGAATGAGAGGAAGGTCTTTATATGAGAAAAAGATGAATGATTTAATATTTCCTGATAAAAATTGGTCCTCAATAATTATTTGACATATAAACCGGCACTACCAAATTTGAACTACATAGGTATATGTGTTGGAAGCTCACACAATCTTTCGTGAGATATACGTTTTTTTTGTGGCATTCAGCTCAAGTATTTGGTCGAAAATAGGCTGTGACGGTTAAGATCATTTAGATTGCATCAATCTATGTTCTGGGCTCTCTATCACATAACGGCTGTTACAAAATGGACGCCAACAAGGTCTAATTTTTGGTATTTTATCACAAAACCAAATGAGGAATTGTATCAAGCGAAATGATGCAGAGTAACTGATAGTCGGCTTTGTTCCACTATGATGTTATTAGTTGTTTTCATAGAAATTGTTTTAATTATTTAAATATATAAACATAAAATACTTAATCACTGTACGTTTGGCTGATAAATGGAAATTAATCAGGTCATATCAATGCTTTTGGATTGCTTGTTGGAAATCTGTTTGATATAAAACATTTTCAGGCAAAAAACTAAAAGGCTTTGACTAGACTCTATTGAAGGAGCTTTAAAGTCGATATGATTTATAAAGAGATAACTGTGTAACAAAGTTAGAAGTGATACGACATTATAGTTTACCTTAAAAAATTCGGACTCAACCTCAAAAATTTGATCTATGATCTTGAACCATAAAGTTCAGTTTACCAAACTTGTACGTACGATGAATCAGATTCTGCCAGACCAGAGATATATTATAGAGTTATGCGTGTTTTTCGGTAGCACCATGAGAATATGGACTTGTTACCACTTGAAATCAAGATGATTGTTAACAAATGCTTACGATAGTACATATAAATTTTTAGAACGCTGTTTGTAGCATTTCTTAACGATGTTTTAATTTTAACGTCAAAATTTGCTTAATGTCTCACTTTTGTACTGGGTTCTGGATATCGTATTGAATGAAACATTAGTTTTATTAATGCAATTAAAATTTGTTGTAATTTTTATTATTATTAAACTAAAATTCGGCAAGCAAAAACAAGTAAAGAATGGTATATAGCTATGGCCGAAACTTTTATACATCTATCGCCTCTATCTTAAAAGATACCAAAAAGAAAACAAAAAAACAATAAAACATAGGAGCTTTATAATATCGATTGGGCATGGTCAATGTTTTCCTTGTTTGTATAGGGACCTAGTTTTGTACTTGGGCCTATTCTAATATATGAGTAATGAAGTAAAAAAAGCTCATTTTTGTACTCAGCGCTGAAAGATGTGGATGTTCATCATTTCACTTCGCCAAAACGTTTGCAACAACCTGAAGGCGCTTCAGGGCCTGCACAAAGTATATGTGCTCTCGATGAGTATCAAATTCTAAATCAATTTACGGATGCCCGCCTGTCCTATGGTAAATATTGTGCTGCTCGCAAAATTGAAGATATCGGCTTCAGACTTAGTAAAAGGGAGCTCCTGCCCGTAGATTAGCATTAAAAATGGGTCAAAACGGTGAAGAAGACGCCCACAGTGCACGCCAACGTAAACTGGGATCATCTTATGCGATGGCTTTTTTAAGTTGCTTGAGAACTCAAAATCGTACCTCATTTTGTCCTCACATGTCCGCCGACTTGGATAGGAATGCTGGAACAATATGCGATAGATTAGAATTTAGCTGGATATAAGTGGTCGGTAAGGAATGAGGGGATTGAGGTTGGCCGGGCAAATGACTTTCGGTATAAGAATTTTTATTTTTCCTCATTAGTTCAGTTTGAGTCGTTTTGCCTTTTCTTATATGAATAGCCGACATGTACAAACGGAACAACGTTCATAAAAATATCATAGTTAAAGAAGTGCAAAGTTCAAGCTAACTCTAAACGGAAGACCATGGAATCATATATATTTTCAAAAGTTATTAAGTTCTAAGTGAACAACTTAGCCTCCTTATTTAACCGTGTCTAAGCAAGACAACACTTAATATCTCTATAAACAATTCAAGCTAAGTGAAATCTTTTAATCTTGGTTTAATTAACTGGTTTTTCTAAACAAACTACTAGCTATTCTCTGAATTTTATCACTAAGAATTAAGCTTTTTGTTCAAATATACCGTGACGACCTTTGTATATGCATCAAAAAGCAAATACGAGTACCGCTCTATAACTGGCCAATATGTCCCCAGGCAGAATGTTATTCTGCGGAAGACTTTAGTTATGCTGGCAAACGAGGCTACATCTGTGTAAAAACAATTTATAGATGTTACGTAGACCTGACGATTATAAAGATGGTCGGAAAGCCGTACACTTTATTTACAAACTCCGACTGGGATAATTCAAAATCATGCTTCATTTTGAGCTCACAACTCATTTATTCGGATTGCTAGATTTGAGTTGGGTTCAAGAAAGAGGAAGGAGGGTGGAAGGATGGGAGGCGTTGGGTAGAAAGTAAGACGACCGACGAACGACAGGATTGGAGGTATCTCGGCCAAACCAGCTCGTTTTTGGGTTGAGATCTGACAAAATTGTTTTTTCTAGCCATTAAATCAAGCATCCGTTTGTCCTTTATTTCCGAAAAGGGTCATTAAACTTGCAAACGTTCCCATCATTCTTTTCAACGGATTAAAAACGGAGGTAGTTGATAAACGTTATGTATATATTATCGCTAAGGTAAATAAATAATCCTGGCGATTAGTTAATTTTGCTTTCGTTTGACTTTTCGATTTTGAGCGTATAGTACGTAATAAAGCAAGAAACGCTAAACGAAAACATTGTTCCTAATTTCAAATGCGAATCCTCGAGGGGAGTCCGAGCTATTCTAATGCGTCTGAGTGGGCATCAATTGTTTCTTCCTATAAGCTGTTCTGTAATATTTTCAATGATCTCTAATCAATCTTGTTCGTAACGGTTTTCGTCAGCTGCATAAAGCGCTATTATTTTATAATATCGCTCGACATGGGAGGCTATGAAAGCCTTTATTTTTGTTAGTTCTCCAAAAAGTTGGTAAATGTTGTTTTGGACCAGCTGTAGGGAATATTTCCGATGTAGATCGATTATATTATGGGATTTTTGTAAAATCGTGCGTCTCGTCGAAGACGTATGCCTCAATACTTAGCTTTTGCATTTTTAATTTCTTCAATTTTCACTTCGTCTGCAAAGCTTTATAAAATACTGCGAAAAATAAGGTCTAAATGATTTTTTAAGCGTTTCTCTAAGTGAAATCATCAAGAGTATGAAGAGAGTCTCCAAGGTAAGCTATCAGCTACGTTGTCGGCAAGGCCCGTTTGTGCTAAAAATACTCGTACTAAAGTAAGAGAGATCGAGTCGCGACGAGTCTGAAAGTAGAAAATCAAAGATGCTATCGATCATTACTCAAGACAAATTATCTTCTGACAAACATATTTTGCCAACCGTGTTTGCTTGTCCTAACGCCCTAACAAACACTTCAGTCCCGGTTATGTTATGAAAACCTTACCTTCAGAGTTCAACATCCCAAAACTTGTCATTTAATAATGACGAATTGGGAAAATCTTCTTCCCTAGGCAAGCTCGATTGCATCCAATATACGCTGATCAGCCAACCAATTTACCGTCGCCATAATTATTCTGACAAATGATCGATTATAAAAAAAAACGAGTAAGACAATATTCGGTTGGAGTCGAATCTCGCATATTCCCCACCAAAAAAGTCTTTAGTGCCTCATGCTTTTATTTATTGTTATAAAAAAGTGAATGGGATAAAACTTATCTTTCACCTTTTATTTCACTGAAAGATATTGCTAAGCAAAATTACTTTACCACGTCGGGGCGGTCACCATAATCAAATAAAAATTAACACATTTAGCTTTTCGAATTCTATTCTCTAAGCTTTCTTATTTGATACCCATATGGACGATTTTCAAGAAACATTTGATCCGCCTTATCGTAACGTCGACCACAATTAATTTAGAATTAACACATTTACCTTGTCTGAGACCTTTTACTTCATACCGATATCGATAGTGTCGTTCGTTCTTGGGTCAAAGCACGTCAACGTAGCAAATTTTACCAAGATATCTCAAAAATTATGACCTGTAGCTTGAATACAAATTTACGCACAATAGGCACACATCAGATGGACGCACGGGGAGACTTTGATCGGTATAATGAAAACTCGGTCTTCTACGTGTTACATACGTCCGCACAAACTTAAATATGCTCCGTACCAGAAGCGGCGTTGAGTATAAAGACCTAATTTTCAATACTTCTCGAAGAAAACGTTCTCCTATTTTCCAAATTTTAACTTGTGAAGTTACTTTTCACCTTTAAGGATTTTTTGCAATCGCTTGGCACACAGCAGGCTTTAAAGCTTTAAATTAATTTACGCAGAAATAAAAACATCTACAAATGAACACGTGCACACATACGCACCCATCGAAAGTTTTATCGTTCTTTGCATGCCTAAATATAAATCTACGGAAGTGTACAGTTGTTGTATGAATTCTTCATGCACGAGTAACTTGAATAACTTTCGCTAATAGAATAAAGCAAGTCATAATAGGGATGTATGTAGCATAGGGAATGTGTGCTTAGCTATGTCTACTCTTGAGAAAACCATATATCAAACACGCACTAATTCTTTTGTGTTTGCTCGTAATTTACAGAAAAGTTTTGATTAATTTCGCCAGTATTTTGACTGGATTTAAGCTAAAATGAATTTTCCTGATTAAGATGAAAGTAAATTGATTTAATTACATTTCATTTTTATTTGCCTTGTAATTGTAGAAGAAAAATTGTGCAAAATGCACAGTAGTACACAACCGTCCCCAGAATATGAAGAGAAATCGACAAAACATATACCAGAGAATCAAAGTCAAGAGGAAAAATTGCAAGCAAAAGTCTTAACAACATATGCCACTACTACAACCACTACTATTACAACAGCAACAGCAATAACAACAACAAATGGACAAAGAGGCTCCATTGATAGCACTGCCATAATAAGCCATCAACGACATTTGGGTTCACGAGATTCGAATGGTGGTCCACCAATCGATACTCCATACATACAAACCACCGCCACAGCGAACTCTAATGCGAATATGACAAATCCAAGTGACGACGATGGCAATGATGATGAGACTGATGTTATTGGGGTTCTAATAGGTCACTTTGGAAAATGGCAATTTTTGATGACAATGTTATTGTCACTCTTTCAAGTGCCCAACACATTTCACATATCATCGTCCGTTTATCAGGTTGGTTATACGATGTACAAAGGGTTTCCTTACATTGATCATATGAATTTGCCTATGTGTGCACATTTGTTGTAATTATCTACATTAGGCGGCTAATAAAGAGTTCTGGTGTAGGCGACCCTTGCATCTACAACATTTGCTAGTTGATGTTTGGCGTAATCTAAGCAATTCACACGACAACTGCTTTCAAAATCAACTCGATTGGAACGGCATTACCAATGACACAATAGAACAGCTACAACAGCATCCACAACAGGTAAGCTTTCTTGAAAGCGCCATACAATGCATTTATACGTCCGCGTATGCATGCACAACTTTCTGTCTTTCAACGCATAAGCGTGAATGCTTTGAAGAAAGTGAGTAAGTAAGTATTTCAAAACACCTTAATAATTCATCGCGATGCCAAGGTTTCGATTTATTTTCATATGAAATGGAGAATTGACATAGACCGTATCCATGTCGTGACATTGAATAGTTTAATTCTAATTTCAGTACTTGACTATTATTCATAGGCGATCTCAAATTTTTCTATTAAATTCCCTCTCTTCTTTTCTTGTTATTCAGCAAACTAACAGCTGAAATTTCGCAGAGATGTTTAAAAATTTCCCAATGTGAATACAGAGTTCTTTGTTTGAGTCTTAGTAAAGTTGGGTTTAGATTTGATATATAATAATATTATTTATTCATTTTAGTTTTTATTTGATTAAAGTCGTTTCAACTTTGCGTACTATACGTCCGGCACACAATTTTTTTTTTTTTAATTTTTATTAAAATATGCATATTCCTCTTCCACCACACAGGATAGAACAGTATAGCGAGGAGTAAATTGCGTTGTGTAAGAAGTAATGCAGTACATGAGCATAAAGTCTCAGATGAAGAAATTAATGAGTGTGAGAGCAAAAAAGTGTAAAAGAGAGTAAGTTCATAATATGATTGCAAATTCATCTGCAGTGTTGTTGCCAAGAATGCCCTTGTGACTGGACACCCAGAGAAAGTGAAAACAAGACGTATCAGATTTGAGGCTATAAAGTAAAGATCTGATTTCTAATATGTAAGAGTGAGTTTTACCTGAGAGAAAGGATTGCAAAGCGGATAAGACAGATTTACTGTCTCACCCTAAAAGGAATTTCTTTTAAGACTGAGTACTCGCTAAGAATTCAACGAAGATTGTTTGCATCGAGTTTCATTTTTATTACTTACTTTACATATCCCGACAACAGTCTAATTTATTGAGAAGTCAGTGCTAAGTAGCTAAGTCGATTGAAAATTTATTACTTCCCTTCAGCTCTCCCAATCGCGAGAATAAGAAGCAAACAAAAAGTGAATCTGCATAAGCCGATTCTTAACTCTACCTTATAGTCGAGAAGACGCACCTTCTTAGTCGTTGATAGGTGATAGAAGGACATTTCCTTCGTCAAGGGAAGAGTCTCCAAATGTTTCGACACATGCACTCTGCACGTTTCACTTTCATTGAACACTTTGTCTCAAAAAGAGATAGAATTTATTTAAATTAATTTACATTCATTTTTGAGTATCCAGTCCTCCATTGAACTAATGCACAACGTTGGTCTAATCAACTCAATTTGATTTTAGCGAAAATCATCTAAAGCCAGCCTCTGCGCGTCATGTAAGAAGCAAGAGAACAAGATAATCATTTAGAAGAAGAGGCTGTAACCACAATACTTTCAATATTTGCAAGTCGATGTACGAATGGCTTTAAGATAAGGGCGTCGATTAACCAATGGCCAAGTCTCGAAATATGCTGGCAACAGCGTCAGATTCGTTAAGGTAAGACAGCGGTGGCAGATGCGGTTCTGAATCGAGGAAAGTCGATTGCATTTAAGGAAAATCTTGGCAATTCAAAAAAATATTGTTATTATTCCTATAAGAATAATTACCGAAGCAAAGGGTGGAGTAAATGATTAGTCTAGTCATCACAATTAAGTCCTATATTGTATAGATATTAGATTCTTCAGTTACTTTAAAGTTGTCCTTAGAGTTTGGCGCTCTGAAAACGAGTCTGTAAAATACGGTTCGATAAATAATTATAGTTTCATTTATTCCATCCAAAAACTAGCGGTAAATAATGTTTGTATTTACAATTTATTTTTATCTATATATGCGCTGCGTTTATCTTCGTTGCGCGCCTGATAACTGTGGTAGGATTAAGCGCAATGGTCACATCCCAACCATAGATCTGGGGACCAAGCGACATTTTCGACAATTAGCAACTAATGAAACCCTCAATTTCCGGGAAATAAATGTAGAATTAAGCCTAAATGTAACAACACAGTGTATGCAACAACTTCTTAAAGATGATGTAGGTCTTAGATATGAACACAAAATTGCCAAACCCCGCTTTACACAGTGCCATAAAAATGCCCCTATTGCATTTGCCGCCAGGTACAAATTTCGGGGGAAAAAGTGTTTGGAAATATTATAATTAATGTTGAGGAAAAGCTTAATATGGACGAATCTGATGGTCACCATAAATATCGGGGGATATATCCTCGACAAGCGTAACTATAGCGGTGGATCTCTTATGGTATAGGCTGCATTTGGAGTGCGAGGAGAGTTAAAAATATGCTTTGTACTTAACAAAATGACCGCGAAGGCATATGACGACCTTTTAGAGAACAATTTAATAGACTTTGCTGAAGAGTTCTATGGTGAAAATTGAAAGTTCCAATAAGACAACGTCAAATCCATATCGCACAGTCTACGAAAGATTTTTTTCAATCACTGCAGTTCCGACCTGAACCCGATTAAGGACCTCTGTTTAATATTTTTCACCAAGATATTCTAAAAATCCAAGCAGTGTTGCGCACTTAAAAAACCTACTCTTGCAAATTTGGCTGGTTAAATGCTGCGCAGACTAATGTGTGTCCTTATTCTTAAGGGTAACGCAATACCATATTAATTAGGTATGATAACAAAAGAAATTAATGTTCGCTTTAATCTTTGCACGAAAAAAACAAATTTTTTCTGTGAGCTAATACTCAAAATAATACGTTGCACATATAAATATTGGAAGAGAGTATTAGAAATATTTTGGCATTGACAAAGCATATGCTAATCGTGAGATTTTGCCTAAAATTGGAGTACATTTCTTAAAGATCTGGCGTGTTACGTTATTACGATCAAGGATTTTTCCAAACGTTTTGATCTTCAGTTTGTCGACGATGATTGGATGTAGATTAGGTAAGGCAGTACTGTCAATTTTTTCGCCAATTTTCTCTTTAATTTTTCTTTCGTTATATTTTTGAAGGTCAACCTTCTCCTGTAATTAATCGTGCCGAACCTGCGAATTTGTCTGCTAGGTCTGCTCGCTGCAAACCAATATGATTCGTATCAATGGTATTCCTTACTTTGTTAGTGGTATTTCAGTTGGAATTTAGGGGTTACGAACGATTTCATTACCGGCAAACTATTTACGATACTAACACTTTTAAGTTTGGCGAGCAAGGTTTTGCTGTTCAATAACATTGGGAACCATCACATCTCCTTAAATACGAAGTTTTCAGGACTTGCCAAGGGAAGCATTTTGTTAGAATATTGGCTTGTCATAAATCTTACAATAGGAAAATTTTGATTCCGTTCATCAATTAACGGACAGAACGAGACGGGTAGAATGAGACCAGACAGGACAATTGTGATAAAGTGACCCGTTAGAGGAAACGATAACTAAAAGCCCTAGAGCAGACGAAAGCGTGTGCACGGTTTGGGTGGGAACCTGCTACCACACACATGAACCATTTAGATGAAGAACCAATTAATAGTTGCCCACTATGCATATAAACAATAGGGAAGTTGGTACCCCGAACCGCGAACGAAATAACTTGGCTGTCTTAAAGCAAATTCTCAAACTAATTGCAAGTACGTTGACGTTGAGGTGAAACGGGTTAATTTCGGAAATGGTATTCCCAGGGCCATAACAATAAAGTAAAGTATCTTAAAAGAAATAATAAGAAGGTTGTTGGTGTCGCGGACACCTTCTATATAAATGTGATTTTCTTCTCCTTATCTCCTACTCGCTCACGCCACGCCAAACTTGTTATATAGAAAATATTTCATTACCGATTACTTACCTAGTCACGTATTAGATTTCTTTCTTATGCCATTGATGCAGTTTTCTCACTGATGGTATTGTTGTTTCTATATGAAGCATGGGCGTCACACAAACACGAATTTAAGTGTTACTACGGTATGCCTCTCGGTGGTGGATGAAATAACCTGCAAGGCATCCATGTGTTCAAAATCATTTTAAATTATTTATGAATTTGGAATACTTTTGTTTAAAGTTACTAAACATTTGTTATCTGCTTTACAGCCACCGCCTGCGCTTAAGGTATTGTGGCAGCTGAACAATACACGTATTGCGTGCACTGCCTGGGAATATGAAAGCAATGATAATGTGGGGAACAGTTGGACTTCACAGTGGGATTTGGTGTGCGATAAGGAATATTTGAAAAACGTTGCTGAAATGTTCTTTCTTTTGGGTGTTGCAACAGGTGGCATTATATCCGGTTATCTATCCGACAAATTTGGTCGTAAAACTATGCTTTTTATATCAGCCGTTTTGCAGACAATATTTGGTATGTATGCACATATATGTAGCTTATGTATAGGTTTGCGGATTGCTTTACTATACCTCCTCTTTTATACTATTTGACACAATTTCCTCCTCTAGTATACATGAATGGAAAATTATAAAAAGGAAAAATAAATGAAGAAAAAAAAGAAAATGACAATGGCTTTGACATTTTGTTAAGAGCCTAGAGAAGCATATAAATGAACACAACTATGTGTATATATGCAAATGCATACGAGTATCTAGTGTTTGCCATCTTTCTGTCTCTGTATGGCATTGAACTTGACAATGTATTCTACGTTTTGTAGGATTGCATAGCAGCATTGCCGTTCTCACTTTCTCCTCTCTTCTTCTTCGGATAGCTGTCACAAAAGGACATCCATTTAAGTGACTTTAATTGTATTATCATTGTTGTGTAGCTTGTAGAAATGTATCCGTTTACCTTCTACTTTCATCTATCAATATCACAATGTATCCATTTTGTACGATTGTGTATTGATCTTAATTAAGGTAACAATGTTTATTAAGAGGATTTTTTTTTTATTTTTAATCGTAACACTCTAGAATTTAAAGGATATTAAAACATGTTATCTAGGAATTAAAAGCTTTCAACCTTCCAGTCAATGATTAAAAAATATATGTTTAAAATGAATAACAATTTCATTTAAATATTAATATTGTAAATGATGCCTTTGCTTTTTAAAGCAAAATGACTTATTTCATTTTTTATCATTATTTTTATTTTATTTTATTATATTTCAGGTTTAGCCCTTTACTTTGCCTATTCGTTTGAAATGTATATAACTCTAAGGGCTTTGTTGGGCCTAGTCTCAGTATCGGTCACATATTCAGGCCTAATACTAGCCATTGAATATGTGGACGGAAAATGGCGTACCATAGCCGGCATGTACAATTTATTTCCACTGCCAATATCGTACATGCTGATATCCGGTATAGCTTATTTAACACAAGATTATCAACGTCTCCAGTTATGCATTGGTATACCGGGAATCTTTTTATGCTTTTTATGGTAAGTTTCTCTACTTCAAAAAGTAGACCTAACAAGTAAGAACATTATAGTTGGCCATGACCGACCACTAAAGCACCCTACAGCACATTGTATAACACAATTTTTATTTTGATTCTAGAACACAATTTTTATTTAGATTCTATGTTTCTATGTAAATTTTTCAACTGCCTATTTATAGTGAAGCGGACCCAAAACGCAACCTAATGTAGTACAAGTTCAATCCTTACGTAAGGCAGAACCCAAAAATAGGTGCAGATAGTCCAACTTTTGTAGAATTCATTTTTGTACGAAATTACTATAATATCAAGAGTCAATTTTCATCACCATATATTAAAACTTCGAATTTTATGCATTACAAAAGGTCAATTTTCGTGAAGACCCCTATTAGGGTAGAATCCGAAAAAAAGGGGGAAAAGGTGCAATTTTGGTGCATTTAATTTATCTATGTTAAATTACCATTACGATATAATTTTCTTCATGACGCATTGAAAATTATACCTTTTCGCCGTCTGACCTTCAGTTTTCGTTCTACGAGAGTTCAAAAATTTCCCCAGCTGATCAAAAGTTTCTATCTTAATTTAGAATGCCAAAATACTACTATTTAGTCACTTTTGTTAAAAAAATTTGAAAGTTATAATTTCTTTCCATATCATGACTTTTCAGAATAGGGTGTTATGTGGGGAGTGGTCGAAAGACTGGATTGTTGGAAATTTCATTGTAATATCTCAAAAATGGCGACCTGTGGCTTTAACATAAATTTACATGGACAGACATGAAACGGGCAGACTAAACCTGTCTGATCGACTTAGGTTATGATTGTGAATCGATTGGTATGAGAAAAGGTGGGTCCACTTTAAGCTCTTCTGCATTTTACATAGGACCGCGTTAAGATAATAAACCCTGTGCCACAACTGCTGTCAAAGTTGAGTTACCATAGCAGCAACATTCAGGAAAGTCAACTGGATGGGGTAGTGTGATGGGTTTGGGAAAGCTATCAATAAACATTGATACAATTGGGAAGAAAAGGGAAAGCAATATACGAAAAGTGATTATCTCGTCGGTGTGCTGAAGTAGAATTGGAACAAAGTTTCAACAGATGACTTTTTGTTTGTTTTAATAGTGTTTTCATTTTAGTGACGATTCCTGAATAGGGAGTCTTTTATGAATAGTCTCGAAAGACCACGCGCACCTAATCCGTATTTTGTTCATGGGATGAGAGAATTAATGGGTGTTATTAGATAATGCAAGTAACTGCTGGCAATATAGTTTCACTAAAATATCGACAAACGCTTGTTCACATGCGTAATGTTATGGATTAAGTTTCTTCATAAAATTTATCAATTCCAAGAGCATAATAAAAAATGAGTCTATTCTAAATCCTTCTGAATGTTACATATATCCGCATAATCAAATATAGTAAATTTCATTAAATCTTTAATTCTGATTAGCAATAGCTGAAGTGTTGAAGAGTCTCTGATGATGCCTTCTGGCCCATTAGATCATTTTAGCATGTTTCAATTATGAAAAGTATGGAAGAATTTAATATACGTAAACATGCGTACTAATCTCTCTGGGGCATGTAATCTTTTTCGTAAAGCGATAAATTGTTTACCTAATAGTCTTATGTATACAAAATTAATGTTTTCATTGCTTAGGTAGGAGGTATTCATTCCATTGTAAACAAATATTTCAATTTAAAAAAAAAAAAAGAACAAAATATAATGATGATATGTGCTTTCCATCTTCACCAAGTTATAATGTAAACGACTTTTGCTTTACGTGAAAGTATTTCAACGCTATTATAAATATTATTTTCATGCTTTGTCTTCTTCTTTCGTTAATCCAAAAATTTGCATAGGTTTGTCGTGCCAGAGTCGCCTCGTTGGCTTTTAGTGAAGGGTCGTATAGATGAAGTGAAACGTATCGTGGAGGCGGCTGCTGCTTTTAATAAACGTGATTTGCCAACCAATTATGAAACGATGCTGCAGCCACCTACGCAGGAAGTCTCTTCCCAGGACTTTATGTGTCTCTTTCGTTCATCGTATTTGCGTCGCATAACCATTTGCTTTCTCTGCATATGGTTCACTATGAATCTGGCTTATTACGGATTCATACTGAATATGAGCACATTTGGCGGAAATGTCTATTTGAATTCGGTAAGTGCTTTCATAATTGCATATATATATATTACGCTTAAATGCAAATATTGTTTAAATCATTCTCACTTCAGTGTAATTAGATTTATCTAATATTATTTTTAATTTAAATTAAAATCCTTCCGTTCCATTTTCTTATACTAATTAACGTTGAATGAAATATGTGTTATTCCACATTACACAGTGATGAAAAAGTACTGGGAATATTTTCATAAAATAATTTACAAATTTCAACAAATCTGTAGTCTTTTCTTCGAAATTATAATAGACGAAGAACGTTGCTTCAATTATTTTTTGATTGCCGCCAAATATTTCTGTTCCTCACTTTCTCACTTACCCAATCTTATGTAAGTTAGCGTTGATATTTCTTAATTATTTTCAGTCGTTCTGTTATTATTTACCAACATCAATAGACCCTCCAGTTGCGTTATTTCCGCATAACAAGTACCAGAATATAAATCATAGAACGTAGCTTACGTTTAAGGATTTTTGAGTTATTTATTGCTTTTGAAATTTTCCTTACTTGGGGAGCATATAATTTAAGTACGAGCCCACTTTATCTAAATTTCTTTTACATCTTTTTTTTCGCCGCCAACTTTTTGTCATACAAAAACTTACTTTTGATAGGAACGTAGGAACGATTTTTGTATTTATCAATGATCTAAGACTTCGTATGGAAAGCGGTACTCAAAGTTGGCCAACGCTATTCATTTTCAATAGCGTCCATTCCGGGGCTGAATATCTCAAAAATTATAAACACAAACACCGACAGATGGACAGACAGCCTTAAATGGATTCAGAAAATAATTCGGGCATGTGTATAATAGGCTAGGAGGTTATATGCCCATTTATCGCAGCAATCACATGGAATAGTAAATGACTTTTATAAGGGACTGAATAGGCGATAATCCATATCCAGGTAAATTGTTCGCGCCTATGTGTTCGCACTCATAATGTCTTCGCTTAATTTACTGCGACATCGTCATTAAATCATCCATATAGTGACTTTAAGTAGCTTTTGATTATTGAAAATTAAAGCAAGTTCCCTTTCGCTTTGAGTAGAATTTCACCCTCGAAAGTCAAAGTGAGTTCAGTTCCGCGTTCCTCTTGATTAAATAAGCCTCCATAAAACCATAGTAAGTATTTTCGAATGAAATTCATAATTAAATTTTCAACTTATTGGAATGAAAATAAATGCCTCCGTATTCCTTATTTTAAAAGTTAAGATTTCGATGAGATTTAGTCAATACATTCCCACTACTTTTGCAATAAAATTTTATACATTGGTGGCTAATTTTTTCATATTTTTTTCTTTTTATGTTTTTAAAGTCATTACACTTTAAACGTTTCGGGGCCGAGACCCTTGTTTGCTTTTGCCAAATTACGGCAATAACAACAACAAATATTATAAGTGCCAGCAACATGTGTCTATTTGGTTCGTTTGCGTGGCAAAGCCACCATCTGCCGTATATATATATATATATATGTAGATAGCATGTTTACATAGTTGTTGAAAGTTTGCCAAAACAGAAAAAAACGGCATTGCTCTGAAACCTAATGTTTTAATAAGTGACGGACATAATGTCTGACATGTATCACATGCGTTATACGTCTGCGATTTATTCTACAATTTTTATTGTATTTATTTATTTCTTTATTTTTTAATTATTGCAAGTGATGACGACGTATGTTTTTTCGATTTCTTTTTTCCTTCTCATTTTTATTTCCATTTCTCTTTTTCTTTTTTTCTTTTTTTTTTTTTTATAGGCTTTAGCTGGTCTAGTCGAAATACCTGCCATAGCCATAGCCATGTACATTATATCGAAAGTTGGCAAAAAATGGTTATTTAGCGCCACTTTAGTATGCGCCGGTATTGCTTGTTGTTGCGCTGCAATTACAGAAGGTCAAGAAGATATTTTATGGTTGAAAATCACTTTTATCATGATTGGTAAGCAAAGAAAATTTGGATAAAAAGCGAGAGAGAGAGAGTCAGAGAGAGAAAGAGAAAGGGGTATATAACGACCCTTAACTAAACGTTAAACTTTGCTCAGTATTCAAAAATTGTTTTTTTTTTTTTTTAGGAAAATTTACCATAAGCGCTGGCAATACCATTATGCCTGTTTATACCGCCGAATTGTATCCCACTGCTATACGTAATGTCGGTGTGGGTGCGTGTAACGTAGCCGCTGGCTTGGCGTTAATTCTAACACCGTATCTATCTTTATTGGTAAGCTTTATGTATATTGCAGACGCGGCAACATCTCATGAGGAGATGAATTTCAGGAGGTTATATTGATGGTATAGATACTAGCCTCTCAAGTTTGGACACCCGCTATCACGGATATCACGACCGAAAGCTAAGAAAGGCCCATGGGGGGTTTTCGTGGAGACTTTAGTTACACAAAATCTTAGAAAAAGTAAAAATAAAATATTATTAAATAGACTTTGCCTTCTCCAGAAGGGGGAGCATCACCGCACACGTACATACCCTATTGGGCACGCCTGATTGCCTTTCACTATCGGACACCGTAGGATTAGACATGAAAGGAAATGTAACCAAATATGTTTGATAGAAACCGCTGAGGCATACTTTTCAATCAGTTCATTACATATTATTATGCCTATTACACGCTAGACAACATATTATCTTGCGATAGTATTCAATGTACTATGGCGTGACAACAAAGTACTACTGTGCACGGAAAATAAATTGAATTTGTTTATAGTCACGAAAATCGTTATATATTCTTTCAAATCAATTTCATCACCTACATAAGGATGTTCCTTTTTAACAGTTTAATCTTGTGTTAGGAATTCATATTGGACGATACCACGTTAATTGAAGAGTACTGTTAACATCGTCTTGATTTTTGAACGACTTTGCCACTTGCTTATTTTGCAGTCTTAGCTCGATATGCACAGGATTTTGCACGATACTTGTCCAATCGAGCGGTTTTGTGCGGATCTTATGCGTAGATCGGAACCTCATCTGCCGCAGTAATACGTTTCTGACCGATTAGAAAAAATACTTTGCGCATCATGCCAAACCGAGCGCAGCTGAAATACTTATAACGGTAACGATGCGAAATTTGGCATAGATGTCTATCACACGGGGTGAAAAAAAAATTGATTTGAAAAATTCTACAAATAAAGATTTGTGGAGTGAAAAACAACTTTAGCTAATTTTTTGGACACTATTATTAAAAGACGATTTTTGCAATGTAATATATTTTTAAAATTAATTTCATAAGAACTTTTTCAAATTTGTATATGAATTGATCGTAACAACAAATTTAATTTCAGAATAAAATTGAAGACCACTTGTTAATGTCTTTACTGACCGCTTGGTGTTTATTTGGCGGATTTGTGGTACTATTTTTACCTGAAACCATGAAACGACATACGAAAACCAAACCCGCCGAAGAAAAGTAAGTTAAGAAAGTATTCTATTAAAGTCATATCCCAATTAACTTAATTAAGCAAAATGAAAATTTATTTAAAATTTTTCAAAGAAAGAAAATGAAATAAAAGAGAAATTGTTATAATGGCTTAGGAGGCAATTTATTAGGGGATTTTGGCTGGTCCAGAATTTTTTTTTTTTTTTTAAGATTTTTTAAAGTATTTTCAAGAATTCAACGACTTTTCAAATTCAGAAAAAAAAAAACATGTAAAACAGGCAGGACCTTTAAGTTATATTTAATAAAATTTCACATAATCATAATAATTTATAAATCAACCAATAGAACTCATAAGTAAATAAACATAAGTAAAGAGAGCAACAGAAAAAATGAAACTTCTTCAAAAGATTTACAAAAAAAAAAAAAAGAGAAGAGAATAATTATTACGTTTTTACATGTCTGTAGTAGTAATTCGTAGTCAATTAATAAAACATTTCAATTAACAATGAAAAACAATTATTAAAAACAAATTAAATGCAATTAATGTTGATTTTGTTGTCAATTATAAAAGAAGTTATGAACATTATATATACATACATGCATATGTAAGAGAAACAAAAAACGAAAACATAAAAAATTCTTAACTAAAATTGTACTTTTACTGCTCGATTCCAAAAAGGATTAAAAAAATTCTGTTTTTCTTTAATGAAATAATTAAAAAAAATTCAATAATTAAAGAAATGATTTTTTTTTTTTTCTTGCTTTTTCTGTGACAGGCTTCTTAGAATGTTTTTTTTTCCTATCTGTACATGTGGTAAGCTTTTTGAAAAGCTTCTGTTGATATGAAACTTCAGTGTTAAGCTCTTTCCAACATGTGTTGACAAGCAAGTTTGCAACAAGCACGAAAGCTTTATTTATCGTAAAGAGAACATTTGCACATTTATCATGTTAGTTGAATGGAAAGTGAGCGGTGGTGATAACGTATCACTGTTGTTTACTTCGGTTTAGAATATAAAAGTAAACAGTTTAATGTTAATATTTTACAACTGTTTAAAGTTCCGCGATCATCAATATGCCAATGCCAGTTGGAATCTCAAATTTAAGCTTTGTTATGTTTTTTTGCATTTGCATTTTCATGTTTCAACGAGTGTTCGATTTATAGAATCGGAAATAGTTGGTGCAATGTTTCCTGCACGATGCCATGAAGCTTGTTTTCTAGATTATCTGATGACCTTTTCCTGATTCTACGGTTAATCATTCAGGGGATGACTCCCAGACGTGCAACATGGTGATGGTGATCACAAAGTTAGGAGAGAGAGGTAGAGAGTGGCCGTTGACTCGGAGGTGTATGCTCGCACTCCTCTATAGTTAGGGTCACAGGCAAATTGCAAATAAAGTATGGTGTAATGTATTGAGAATCGAATGCAGGTATGACGACCTGTTAGTCGCCTTTCATACCTCCTTGACCCTGCGGTTGCTTTAAAAGCTAATTATCGTTACAAGCTAGAATAAGTTATCGTCTTGTTGAGAGCACGAATTAACCAGTTCAGTGAGAAGAGATTCTTTCTAGGAGCTACGATGAGATTTGAAGTGCAGACTTATTGGACGTGATATGACGTTTATTTATGCTTGCGACTCAGAAATCGCTCCGGAATGATAGGGCTATCTTGGTAGAGACAAACCGAAACCAATTTATTTGATTACGATGGCATTTTTGAAAATGTGTTCTTTCCGAAGGGTCAGACAATTGAAAAGAAAAATCGCCTTGACGTTCTGTACCACCCTTATTGTTCAGATTGATGGGACAACAATTTCTGGCATACTGACATAATCGTTCGTCAAGTTTTCAACAAAAAAACAAACTGGCGTCATTCCAAAAGCAATGTATTCGTGTGATATGGCTTCAGGTGACTATTACCAGGTGACGCTCCAATTTATAAGCTAACAAAGCGAATGATATAAAACTGCCTCCACATGTTAATAACACTGGCATTAAACTAATCGAAAAGATTCTATTGACTTTCGAAAGGTGCAAATTTTCAAGACCATACTTCCCCTTATTTTTGATCAAAATGGTATTGCGTGTATTTGTGTAATAAATGTGAATCGGATCGATCTATCGCTTTTAACGTTTTTTCATCAAATATTTCACATCATCGCAGCAATTGATGGCTGGTTTTAACAAAAATTTTCATTTCCGTAGTGAAATGAATAATATTGGAATAACATATCAAACATTCAGAAAAAGGCAGGTCGTCAAGCAAATGAACATTTTTTCAATCATTTTTGGAATTGAGTTTTGATGGAAATGGAAAATGTTGGTTTTATATATTTCTAATAAAATATATACTAATATTTACACTCTGATGTAAGATTATCGGGAATTTATTAAGTCAACTAGCGGTAAAAACAATTGGAAAGCCATTATCATGACGCTTTTCGACGCCTGGGCGAAAATCTAGATGAAAAATATTTTTTTGTTGCAATTCCTGCATAAATAGTTTGAGTCCGCAGTCATGTACCATTCTTTGCTTTTCGCTGCTTAACGGTAGATTAGCTCCCCACTTGCCTTGAATTTGAAAGAGAAGCACTAGTTTTCGCGTCAATGGTTTTGAAACAAACTGAAATTAAACCATCTTACTATCGTCCGAAATTTGGAATGAGAGAAGTTTTCAAATAATTTTATATCAGTGTTTCCATGAAAAATACTAGTTTTGTGGATTTTTTGGAAAACTCTTCTTAAAATGCCATTGCTTCCCTTGTAATTCGAGTAATGCGGGTAACTATTTTTCGTATTATTCAATTGAGATTTCAATGACTTCGATAAACGATCACTTGATCGCAAGCTTATATTCCTGCTCCTTTTTGCCGTTAATAACTGATTTCCGATATTTTCTGATTGAAGTGCAAGAACAATACGAAAAAGCAAAAAAGACGAAAAACCAAAAATTTTATTAAAATTTATTATTATGTACAGCTTACTATTATTCATAATTCATGGCTCGTAAGTTTTATGCATTTATTATAGAAAACAAAAAGGAAAATTTAAGAAAGATGTCAAATTTCTTTTCTGCCCACATATATGAATAAAACCAAAGTTAAAAAATAAATTTAAAAGAATTCAATTTTATTTACAATATATATATGTAAACATAATGTATATGCTTTTTTCATTCTTGCTCTCACACTCTATCATTCTACAACTTCGCGTGTGAAATATGTTATTGTATGTATTAATGAAATGTACTTATTATGCTTACATGTGTGTATGTTTTCATATATCCATTTTTCTAAATGTATAATATTGTACTTACAGTATAAGTTTAATATATATTAAGTAAACTCTCTTGATTTCATATATACATATGTATATATATCTATATATATATATATATATAAATATATATTACGAAAGAAAATAAATTTAAAGAATTCAGAAACAAATAAGAGAATTATACCCGCCGTCAGGCACGCACTCACCATTCTAAGACGATATATAGGTATTTTCATTGGAGAGACTTTTCGTCGCCATTTATCGGACTTGCGACATGTTGTGTGTCCTCTCGAAAATTTCTAACATTTCGGTCTCGCTTAAAAAAAAAAATGTACTGCCAGGACAGCCCGCCAACACTTGCAGTAAATAATTACTTGGCTTCTTTCTTCCGGCCCCAATGGTATATTTGGCATAGACAACATACAATATACTCAAATTCTTTTAAATATAATGTCATGTAAGACTTCAGTTTGCTGGCGTAAGTAAATCCGCGGCGATTTTCTTTGTTCTTGAAGGTATTAAGCTAATGTCTAAAGAGGATCTTATAATAAATACTCTCGCCTTCCGCTGAAGTGTTGAACGATACGCGTAGGAGGAGTTTTGTTTCAGTTCACGAGGCCTTGCAGTCTTAGAACCACGACGATTAAAATCCTTAATTAAAGTAGGCTATAAACGAGCTGCAAGGACGAAAGCGATACATAATCCTACATAAAAAATCAAAATTCTCCTCATTCTCTTTATGTTCGTTTGTTATACAAAATTTTCCGAAATATCGCTACAAATTCATATCTTTTCATAACTGAGTGCAATGAATATAATAAAGGTAAGCGCGTGTCACATATATAGCGCAATTAAAATCGTAATGACTGAAATCGAATCTCGATTAAAACCTTATATAATTTCCCAGGTAATCTTGATAGTTTATCGAGAAAAGAAACCTATTATAATTCTGAATAAGAGAGTTATAATCGGGCAATGCTGGCCGTCACGTTACACATGACCTTAAAAGCTTATTAAAAGAAATTATAATAAATATGAATAAGAAAATTATAGTCGAGGAATGCCGGCTATTAAATACCCTACGCCACTTGATACAATTCCTAACGTATTTTCGTGGTAGTGTACAATACTGGGGAGGACACAAAACTTGAACTGAAACCGGCAACTTATCGAAATTAGTCCTCTCAACTAGTCAAAGATGTCTATCTATTGTGTTAACATTTTTGTTTTTATATTTCAACTGTTTCCGTCACTACAAAACGCTATAAATTGGATTTTGTCACCCTGTAAGGGCTCGGTTTTCATGAGAACTCCGGCATATGGGCATAAAATTACACCTATGTGATCTAATTTGCCTAACGCTAATTTTCTCGCTAAATTGTTGCTACGGACCAGTTTTCGTCAGAAAATATTAAAAATTAGACTTTCTTCTAAAGAGCTTACTATACATGAGGAACCGTATATGGACCGGCGTCCAAGAAATAGAGCTATGCTGTTCAAATTTGGTCTCTTTAATTTTTATATCAAATTACTATCACCGACAAATTTTCATCATAACGCATAAGCCAATAGGGATTTTTGGTATATAAAGATTTTCACTTGCTGAGAATCCTTTTTTGCGGTCGTGTCCAAAAAATAAACCTACGTGTTTTAAATCTGGTTAGGTTGATTTCCATGACAATTTACTGTTGTGAAATAATTTTCACAATGAAATATTAAAAATGATATCTTATTACCATAAAAAGATTCAGTTTTCGTAGGACCGGTTATATGAGAGAGGATTAAAAAAATTGCCCTACCGAACGAAGTTTTTCCTACCAATTTTGAATGTCAAAAAATTTTAAAAATTGCATTTTTTTTTCATATAACAATTTTTTAACATAAGCAGTTATATGAAGAATGGTCGAAGAAGCGAATAGACTCAATTCATATTCTTCAAGGTTCGTTATAGGGCCAAAGCACGTCAGTGTGCCAAATTTTCTCAAAACATATCAAAAATTGCGACCTGCAGGGTAAACACAAAATTACATGATCAGACATCTAAGAGGTTTCCAAATAATTTTATATCTTCTTAAAATGCCATTGCTTCCTTGGTAATCCGAGTAATGCGGGTAACTATTTTTCATATTGTTGAAGCAAAGTTACAGCCGTCAATTTAGACTTTAGTGACTTCGATAACCGATCACGTTGATCGCAAGCATATATTCCTGCTACTTTTTGCTGTTAATAACTAATTTCCGATATTTTCACTACATCGCTATACATATTTGCCACGCGCATATCTACACGACTGTGGCATAGCAGGCTTTTACCTTTTAGTGATGGGTATAAAAACAACAATAAATTAATAAGCATAAAATATTTGTAGATTTATAATATCATGTGCTCAACGGTAACAGAAAAAGAAAACCAATTATTATTGTTAAATTATTTATAAAAAATCCAAATGAAACATATGAATGTGAACGCTAATCATCCCAAAAAGGATATTAAAAGAAATTTTTTTGAAAATAAAACTTTAAATAAAATATGTTGATAATAACATTAAATTGTTTTTATTTTTGCCGTTAAAACGCGTAAGCTAATAGTCTTCTTTATAAAACGTCACACACAACACGAAACAAAGCAGTGAACTAAGACAGTTTCCTTTGCTTTGATTAATTAAATATTTGTAGAAATGTTTGTAAATTAGTCGGTTGTAGGGCAGAATATAGAGAATATATTTTGATCATAATTCGTGCAAGTTAGCACTTTGTAGAATATATTTTGATCATAATTCATGCAAGTTAGTGGTTTGTAGAATACATTTTGATCATAATTCGTGCAAGTTAGCACTTTGTAGAATATATTGTGATCAGTGAACTTAATGGCAAACAATACCTTATTGAATGAAAAGCTTTTTCTAATGTTAGAAAAATCCACCAACTTTAAAAGCTTTAAATGAAAAAGCTTTCCTTATCTAGTGCAAGCGAAAAGTTAAAATATGTTGCCGTTGGTAACACCGCCCAGCGTAGCAAAGGCAGTTCCAGTAGATAGATAATCATTGTTTTACTTGCAGTTTCAATAAGTTGAAGCACTAACACACAAACAAATAAAAACATCTACACACACACAATATCGTACACAATAGCAACACATAATTCCTTTATAAATATAACAGTAAACGGAGTTAGTCCATAATAATCATACAAAACGTTATCTGAATTAGATCGTTGTTAGCCAAAGTGTAGTGAACATATAAAAACGAAAATCAAAATCAAATAAAAATAAAAAACAAATAAACACAAAAATATTTTTAAAGTGCGATAGAAGTTCACAAAAAAAAAAAAAAACCAAATAAAAAAATTGCCTTTTTTTTAAGCAAACGTTAAACTTAATTATTGTGAAACCTATATGATCTGCAAGCAAAATGAGCGGTGTTTTACGACGTGGATCTTTAAGTTTCGATGCCAATCTTAATGGTCGTTCGAAACGCGGTTGTAATGATTCAAATCTTTATGGCGGTTATCACGAACACAAACGAGTTCGCACTCCTGAAATTAGTGTTATTTCCTTCGATTTTCGCCGTCATTCGCAAGATTTGAAAAAAGACACCCTAACTTTATCAACTGCACCCGATTTAAGCGATGACATTGACAGCGATATTATTTCCAATTATGTGGGTCATTATGGTAAATGGAATTTTCTATGGACACTGCTGTTGAGTTTATTTCAAATAATGCCAACCTTTCAAATATTTATGTTTGTCTTTCAGGTAAGTGTTACACATATGCATTATATATGCATAAATTTATACATATAGTTAAGCAAATTTTTAATTGACATTGTTTACGCCAACAAACAATGGTTTGTTGTGATCTTTATCGTGGTAACAATAAAATAATTTAATTTTTTGTTTTGTATATTATATAAATAACAATAAGCACCACCTGCGCTCTATAAACCATATTTTCTTAATGTTTATCTTAGCACCAAATAAAAAATATATTATAACAATAATAATAAGAAAAACAAAAATAAAATTTATGTATATATATATATATGTATTTTATTTTAAGGTGTTGTTTATATGTTATTTTTTTTATTAATTCTACTAGCATTCCAAAACTCAGAAACACATAACCAATGAATGCATAATAATAAGATTGCTGCCTACATACATTGTGGCCTACATCCTCAGAACATGTAAGCCTAGCTATAACTTATGAATGAAAGGATAAGGCATCTTAATTTTTAAGCCAAATACAAAACAAAACAAATATAAAAGACTATCGTAGCTAAATACTCCGCGCCATTCTACAGTTATTCATATAACGACTTTTTAAAAGTAAGGCTTTACATAAGAAGTGGCCGAAAAACGGGAAGGTTATCATAATACGAGAGGGACAGACGGGCATTACTTCCTGACTCGCAGGAGGACCTCAGATAGAGTCAGCTTTTATCATAGCGAAGGCGAGCAGACAGACAGACAAGCTTAGATAAATTTAGAAAATGATTCTGAATCGATCGATATAATAAAAGCTAGGTTTTCCTTGAGCCCTTCTGAGTGTTACATATGCACCCTTACACTGAATATGTCCTTACATTATAATTGGTGTGTGGCATAACAAATCAATGTTTTGCATTCGATCGGAGCTAATTTTTATATTCAAGCAAGCATTCTTTATTTATGTTTATTGAAACGTGCACACCTTCCTTCGCTTTAGGGAAAATTTTTGCTTGAAACTTATGGTTAATGAATACAACGCCTATTAGTGCAATTAAACAACCGTTATAAATTAAACTGTTTACAATAACTGTGTTCAAAAGTGGAAGCATTTCTGTGTTTTTTTATTTATTTATTTTTTTTTTTTTTGTAATAAGAAGGAAGTAATCTATTTCATTTTAACGCGTTTAAAGAAAACAGGTTACTCTCACATATTAAGGCAAACGAGTGATAGCAAATATATTGAGATATCGACAAGAAAACACTTTTTTCATGCAAACTGATTCCATTGAATTCTTCATCAATCAGAACATTTTTATAAATGATTTTTGCGTTTAACTAAGTCGGCACCTATACCGCGTGTACATCCAAAGTATATAAGTGGATATAAAATATCTTTTATAAAACATTGAGATAGAGAAATTTGTAAGCAAAAATAGTTTTCGCAATTGAAAGGGAAAACACCATAAATGGTTTAATACGCCAGGTTAGCAGATATCTGTGCCAAAACAAGCTGCTCAATTAAGCGAAAGGAGTTTGAGCTCAACCCAAACAGTATTTTCACTTAAATAAACAGATGACGCACTTAAATGGAAATCGCGCGTGTATCGTGTGAAAATATCTGAGGAAAATAATTGCATTTTATAAGCAGATGGTGAAGCAAAAACAAAGGACTAAATATAGACAAAACGGTTTAATCTATATGAGAAAAAGCTTGTAACCCAGTTAAGCCGTCAATTTGATGGATTTTTGATTTAAAAAATTCTGCACAAGTACGTAGATGTCTTCAAATGTTACCCATTGATTTTAAACGATGTAATATAGAATATATATATATGTATAATATTTTTTTTCTTTAACGCGCTCACTTTGCTACACGTTGTATATTGCTATAACGGATATATTTTGCCAATCGCCACAGTCGCAAAAATGAAGATAGTAAGGTAATGTTTGGCGCAAACATTCTTTGATCGATGAAGAATAGGAGTTTAACAAGCACGCCTGTTGACACAAGCCAGAAAATATTAAAGAAATCCCAAAAAACGCAAATAATTTTTTCAAACTTTCAATTGCTTACAAGAACCACGTCCTTGTTGAACGCAAAAATTATTCCAATCGTCAATAGTTAACGACAAACTTTTAATTCTAAATTATTCTCGAGTTATTTTCCATTTATTCGAACGCTTTTTGCATTGAGTTTTAACCTTAATTGTGGATGTGTTAGCAAACCGATTGAAATTATTTTTGGATTGAACATGAAAGTGATCGTAATGACTGTGACAATTCACAAAATGTAACCTTCAAATTGATGGGCTTGCGAAAATCTAGGACTAAAGGCAAATATGAAACCATATTTTATCCAAATAATGGTTAGTTTTAAGTAAGCGCATGAATAACGAACTTAATCCAGGAAGCTATCTTTACACTAAGTGAGCAGACGTGCCGGGAAAAGCAGAGAACCTAATTAGAAGTATATCGTCTACATTTCGCGTAAACTATTTATTCAATTAAATAAACCTGAATATAAGAGAAAGTTAGCGGCTCACTTAAGTAAAGAAAATGTTTGCATTTTATACAAACAGTGTTTTCCTTTAAGAAAACATGCATAAGAAAAAATTGGTCGTTGACTTGAAATGAAATACTTCAGAGCAATATTCTGATTTGATTTTAATAGCTTCAACAATTAGTTAAAGGAGGATATCACAAAAACGTCTTATTTAACTATAATGAAGGGAGAGCCGTATTCTTATTCCCTTCAAACGGATTTTACACTTACGTGCAAGTAATGCAATTTTTGCATCTAACAATGACACTTACTTTTATATGAAGTAAACGCCATCTTCAGCGAAAAGAAATTTCTTTCTTTTTATTGCATGTATAAAAATTCAACCAACTGAGAGAATACGTTTGTTTACAATTCTCGATAAGTTTGCATGTATTGTACCACTTTAGAGAATAAGCGTATAAAATTCAACAATCCTTCGATGACACACAGTTGAGAGAAAAGCTCATTCAAAATCCCAATAAACTGCGACTCCTATAGGTGCCTTTCCATGTAATGAACTAGCAGACCTCGCAACTAAAGGAGCCTGTAATTCCGCACCTTTGCCAAATACTCATTCAATACTACAAAATAATTATTCCTTTGGATAGTAAAACGATCTTTCCAGAACACAGAAGCATAAAAGATTTGAAGCCTTTCTTAAAACTTTCATTACTAAACACACTCACACTCATCTATTACGTAACTTCACCTTTGCAACTCTAAACAATCTACTAAGTGACTAGATGCAGTATGCTAACCTCAAAAACAAGGCGCACTTTGGGCATGAATCCGTTAAATCATCAAGGAAAATTCTAACATCTATGTGTTCCCACACAATTAATCCACAATAATTCTTATAATATATACACTTTATTAAAACATATTTATGTTTTTATTAGGTAGTCCCGAAATTTGCCGCGGATTTTCACCACGAAATTACATAATTTTTTTTTTATATAAGGAATGAGTTTTTTAGGTTATATGTTTGGCATTTTGTTCAATAGCAAGTAGCCACTTTTGAAGCAAGTTCATTGTCCCCTCATCATTTAATCTTTTGCAAAAACCGTCCTCTGACTTGACAGTTTTGTTAGATAAAAAGTTTTGCAGAGAACAAAAAAGATGGTTCAATATCAAGACTCTGCGGCGGATGTGGAAATACTTCCCAGCCAAGTTCAATAATTTTTGAAGAAAGAAATATGAATTCTCGTCATGATGAAAAACAATATTTTCCAGTTGATCAATCCTGGACGTTAGTGTTGCAACGTTTCCTTTAATTTTACAGCATACTTCAGAATTAATTGTTTTGTTACGCGACAGAAGCTTGTAATATAATATTCCTTTATGATCTCACCATATGCAAAAACTAAATCTATTGTTCGCGGATAGCGGGTTTTGGTGTTGTTTGAGATGGTTCGCCGTGTTTTGACTACGGTCTCTTGCGTTGCCTACTTTGGTATAGAATGCTTTTTCCATCACAAGTTAAAATTCTTTTCAGAAATGGATCGTTTTGGTTTCGCTCCGATAGCATATCGCGCTGTGTTAAATAAAATCCTTTTACAAGATTTGGCTCCCAAATATCCAGTTTTTTTACCGGTCCCATTCCACTAACATTTGTTTCGGATAAATTAAGTTTCTGTCTAATCTCGCTCACTCACTCGCTCACTCACTCACATCAGTTTACATCACAACCTTGCATTTAACCTACCACAACGGTGTAAAGCTTTTATTGAAAAATTTCCATAAAGAAATTTCGCAAACCAATTTTGGCAAGCCCGTTCAGCTACATCGTTAGTTCCATACGCGTCTCATATTTCTGTATACGCTTCTGCAGCGCTTTTAACCTTTTTTTAAACAAAAAAAGTAAAATGTGTCTTAAAAATTACCGCTCGCTACCATAACATAATCGATCACTTTGAAAGTCTTTACAAAGTGAACATAAACCTGCTCTACATAAAAATATATACCTTCAACCGCAATTATATGTCTAGCTACGTGAAAAAAGTTATTTTAATCCGGTGTCGGAAAAAACCGCCAGAAAATTCCGGTCTACCTAATACATATGTTATTATAAAACACATAAGTTTTACTTTCAGCGAAGCGATAGTCTTCGCTGTTGTGCTCCTCTTCGTGAGTTGCATAAAAGTTAATGTTTTGCGCAATTTTATTAAATTAAATAACTCCAAGGAAACACAAAATGCTTAATTAAAGCAAAAGTCTGTATATTTTGCATAAAATATTTACACAATTCAAGAAACATATCTGCAAGAAAAACTGACTCACTCTAGTAAATAAAAAGAATTCATATTTGTTACGGCTCAACTCAGACAAAAATGTTTATATTTTCTTTTGCGCTTGGAGTAAATCAGCAGATATACTACTAAGTCTGGTTAAGTGAAACGTATCTATATTTTGTGCAATTCATTTATTCGGTTAAGTAAATAAATATTTATGAAAAAGCTTACACATTGAATAAGAAAAGTCTCTGCTGCATTTTGTCTAAATATTTCGTTCGGTTAATTAAAAAAATATGGATG